CGGGACCCTGCGTCGTGCTTGCGTTGAACATAAGCGATAATTGGGCATCCGTGCGGCCTAGCGTGGAGCCGTCCGGACAACCATGGTTCATGCTGCCTTGTCGAGAGACTGTGAAACCAAGATCCCGGACAGCGATAGCATCTGTCCCTAAATACTTGTAGCGTTCTGCGAAGCATTTAATGGGCGGGTCTAAAGAATGTTAGCTACTACAATTCCAGTAACATGGGCGCATATTACCCGTCGGGTATGCCTCTGCCATCCGCGCTTCTAGTTTGCGAGATGCATCCAGGTCACCAAACTGGTGCACGTGCCGGCTCCATCGCTCCCATAAGGGACGAGCGCGATCTGGCGGTAAGGTCCTGACAACACGCTCAAATAGCGCGCGAGCATCTAATGGTTGGCTGAGTGCATTATTGAGGCGACCCCGAAAGGAAGACTTAACTGTTTTCATCGTTGAGAGAGATCAGAAAGCCGAGGTAATGGATGACGAATTCGACCTCGTCGCCGAATATTCCCATTCCCTTCTCGAAGATGCGACTGGCGACATCTGTCGTTTTCGTACAATGGTACTCCATCAATGCTGCACGGACGATACGAACATGAGACTGGGACAAGTTCGTTCAAAACAGAAAGCGCACATACCGGCAGCTTCAAACACCTCCCATGGCGTCCAGCGATCCCGTCTCGCCTTGCCAAACACCGCCCGCGAGGATTTCAGTCCCTCTGCGCGTCTTCCGAACCTCATGTACATGATCCACGCGATTCCGTAGTCCGTCCGACGCTCATGCAACTCCTTGTTCTTCGACGGCCGCTCCTCCGACACCTGCGATACGAATGGCGAGAACTGTGACGGAGGATTGAGCGGCTCTCGCTGACTATTGGGTGCGGTCGATGGCGATGAATTTTCTGCGCTGACTCGTCGCTCGACCTCCTCCGGATCTTGGCGGAGGACGTCAAGGAACTTGGTGAAGGTGGCGTGTACCTCTGAGTAGTTTTGTCTGATCTCGAGGGCCTCAGCGTAGGCAAAGTTCAGAACAAAGCTGCAGGTCTCAGAATCTGCGCTTAAGTGTCCAAAATTGACATCATACCTCGACGGGTTTGCATCAATTCCGGCCTTCAGTATAGCGAGCGCCTCGTCCGTTTTGCCAATGCTATTTGTCCACACATATGCCATGTACCTGCACGACGGGTGAGGCTTCCAGCTACTGCAGACACGCGGCATACCCACCAGATTTCCGAGAAGAATCGCATGCGCACAATGGCTTTGCGGTACACCGCTTTCAGGCGCGAATGAAGGGTCGCCTTGTCTTTTTCTTCGATCTCGAGCGGGTTGCCCTCCTCCCACTTAAGATACGCCTGCCAGCGGCCAACCAGTGTTTTGTCTCTTGCGTTAAACTCCGGCTGACGGGGCAGCCATATAGGCGGTCGTGCCGTTCTCGATGGGGGCGGGGGAGAAAAGAGCATCGTGAGGTGCTCCTGCAACTGGCTGAGCACCGTACGCGCCTGTATATGGCCCTGCTGGAGATTTGAGAGGAATTTCTTTGCCTGTGGAGCAGTCAGTAGGTGGATCTTTGTTTGATTACCTGGATGCACACCGTGATCTTGTTGAGAGAATTCTCAAAGTCTTGATATTCTTTCCAGAGCTTCTTCGTGTTCTCCATCGGTGCCTGAGCTGCACGACTATAGGCTTTGCGGATCGCGTCCAATTTTTGCTGCTCTTCCCAGGTGGTAGTCGTCTACGAGGCTGCTTAGGATGCTCGTCCAAACCATTCCGTCACAGACATACCTCGCCAGATCTGAGAAATTGTATGTACTCCGTCCATATCTCGCTACTGTCCTTGTCCTGCCCGATATGGTTCAATGCATATTCATAAGACTTGCGCACCACATCGCGCGCATTCGGGCCTGTATTCACTCTCCTGTGCACTTGTTAGGAACGCGCTTGACGCATCCTTCGCTCTCTGTCACTAACCTGACATATGTGAGGTAAACCTTCCACAAGTCGACTGACGACGACGTTCTTAAAAATCGCTTGAACAGGCTTTCGGCAAATCCGAATGTCTCAGGGTTGTCGAGGAAGTGATTCAGATACGCAATCTGCGCGGAAGACTGCATATAAATGATGAGTTCCGATCTTCATCACGCAGACGTAGCGGCGAACAGTATTAGGATAGGCTTCAAGTAATCCCTCGTAGGTTTCCTTGATCATCTCGATGTTGCCCGAGTCTTCGGCAATGTCGACAAGCCTCAGCCACGTATCCGCTTCAAACGGTTTCTGGCGCAGCTGTGTGCGCAACTGATCATATTCTGAGGGAGGAGGGGGCGTTGGCTCCTGCTTCACTGTACGGACATTGTAGATACTGCTCAAACGCGGAAGCGAATCGGGATTGATCTGGCGAACGACGTTTGAAATATCGTCCCTCTGCCGGCTGCGTCTTCTCATCATCGGCAAAAATAGATGTATCAGTAAGGTCTTCTAGTTTTGTGGGTAGTTCAAACATGCCAGGTACGTGACGTCGAGCGAAGCGACTTGGGCGACAGTGTTGAAGTCGCGCGCAAAGCTGACCATAAACTCGACGCCTACAGAATTATGGGCGCTTGTCCCCGCGTCTAGTGGGCGGCGTTCATTGTTGAACGTTGAACCAGGGCATTGATGGTCGACGAGGCTGCTTGTTCGTGACGCCCACTCGTTCCGTCCACCAGCTTCCTACGGCTGATGCAGCCGATACGAAAAATGGAAGAGGAGGAGCTGAAATCTGCAACCCGTTTCCCTCGCCGCCCTTGCACTACACGAATATACGACGGACAACTTCCACCTCCTTGAGAAGCTTCGCGAACGTGCGGGTGGCGCGGACCTCTCCACGGTGAACCACTATGAGTTGCTCTCAGATCTGGTGGTCGTTCCAAAGTGGCCGTTTGCGCAGCTGGGGAAGCCTCGGGATGACTGGATAGTGGAGAACGGGCATTATGCGGTGTTTGGTGAAAACTGGCCGGTGATCGAGACGGGCTTGCATAAACGCCACATCGGCATTCATGGGAGCACGACTCGCAGATCAAAGAGGGATTAACATCATTGGCTGAGCTAGAAGGCCACCAGCTATATCCAGCTGATCCCAGTGTCGGTTCGTAGCCATCTGATTATGTACGACTTTCGGTGTTGCTCACTCGTCTGGCTCAGGCCGCAGACCAGCATTGAGGTTTATACTGAGGTCTATGTTGGTTAGATATTCTCACTTGCTCGATGCCCTTCTCGCTCCACCGCCGACTGCACCCTCGACTGGCGCGTCGGAATGGGAGCAGCAGACAGAATGGATCAATATTCTCGCACAGAACGTCATGGCGGCGGCGAACGATATGCGACCCGTGCAGGTGCGGCCTTGATTCATTTTTCATGCGTCGCTATTGAGAAAGGCACGGCTATGTTTAGGCCAGGGGCAAGAAGCTCATGATGAGACAGCAACTCGAGCTGCGAAATGAGGAAACAAAGGCAATCCACGCGTGCGCTGTCTTCCTACGTATTCTACCGCGTCCTGCTGAGCCCCTCCTATAGACAGTGCGACACCCTGGAAGCCAAAATGGCGGATATGCGAGCAGAAATCCAGCGGTTGCCCCATGCATCAACGGGCTCATCCAGGAAGCCTGTGATATTCCAGGTAAGGTGTCATATAAACAGTACATGATTTGATACTGAGCGTGCAGAAGGGCGGCGGTGGTGATAAGATCTTAGACGAGGACGACTCACGTTGGGCAGAGGAGATCTGACTGTCCCGCCACACTTCGGTTCGCATACAGAGGTTTCATATGAAATAACAGGACACCCGTTGCGAATAAGTGCACCAAGCCAGGATGCAGGTGCTAATACCCTCGACGAACCGCAGCTAAAACGGTGTCGTTAAGGTATCCTTCGGAATCTCAAATGACGTAGGACTTACGGCAGCTACATTACCATTGCAATTGACTCGCGTGTCTTCAATCCGTAGGGCAACCTATATTTGCGTGAATGGCCTACCATGTGCGACTACGTGCACGTGCAATTGTCCGTATATCTGTGAGTTCCGTCCGCCGAATTCAAGTATCCGCGTCACTTACGCGTTCAAATCTAGAAAGATTGCATAAGATTGCTCCGTGAGCAAGGCGCATGCGCAACAAAAACATCTATATCCGCTCTGATACACATTCTAAATATGCAACGATGCGCGTGGAGCAAACCTGCCTTTGTGAACTGGTACCATATCGCCACAACGGGCGTTGTGGAGCTGTCTTCTGTCACCATTCGCATTGCTGATGCTTCTTTTCAGATGATCAGGCACACCATCCCCCCTCCCCCCCCACGGCGCTTCTTGGCTGCCTTCCGGTGCACATACATTATCCAATTGGCGGCCTCTGTCATATTCATTGTTCCGGAGATATTGGAATCATCTGGACCAACCTTGCGACTGAGCATTGAAAGTCATGACGTTCATGATTACGAGGACTCACGGAGCGATCAGTGTCCTGCGCATGAGACGAAAAGCTATATTGCACACGTGAAGAGCACTGATGGGCCTCAATTGATGTCCAAAATCGAAGCCCGGGAAAACCGCGTGGACGCATGGAGGAGGTAAAAATAGCGAACTTTATAGCAGTTCAGGTGAGATAACACCGTTATCTTTTAGCTTTACTGTCATTATCGAGTTCCGGCTAGCTGAATGTCGTATCATGAAAGTCTATTGAACGCAGTGTCTGACAAAAGACTTTATGATGATGCGATTTATACCGGTGGAATTTCAATGCTGAATTCGACGATTCGTTGTTTGGAGTCTCTTGAAGGCACTCAGGTACTGATACTCGGCCCAAGGACATGTGAGGATGTGCGTCATTGAACTGCGTGAATCCGGTCTTCAAGGTGCAAACGACCGCTCGCTTCCACTGTAATGTGCCTTATCGCTCGTTAAACGACTATGATAAGCCATAATCGATTGCGCGGTGCTAACCGGCCTGCAGCAGCGCGCACGGCCGTTTGCATGCGTCTTCTGAGTTTCTTGTCATTCAGCTATCGCGGTTACCGTATGCTCTTAGTCAGGAAGATATTCATACATCCCCAGGTATAAAAGGGCACGATTTTTCTCCTGAGCGCACTATCAACCTCCGCGTACCATGCTCTTTCTGGGGTTCTTCGCTGCTGTCGCGGCGACGGCTCACTCCGCCTGTCGCGATAAGTCGCCCATCAATATTCCGTTCACCAAGAAGTTTAATGCCACGGGAGGCGCCACGTTGAAGCAGATGGACCGGGCAAGGATCGCACATTTCAAGGCTGGGTGCGGTAGCGGAACTGCTTGCGACGTCAAGACTGCCGTGAGCACGCTGTTCGATGTCGACGCCACGAACGGAACCGTGCAGTACACTGCCAGCGTACGTAGTCAAGGTGTTCATGGACCCTCGTGACATAGCTGACCATCTTGTGACCCAGATTGGCGTCGGGGATCCTGCGACTGATTGTGAGCATTTTGATCAACTATCCATCTGACGAACACAACCTCACAATAAACGTGATCAGATACTTTGATCATTGACACTGGTAGCTCCAACACTTGGGTTGGTGCGGGTCAGTCATATGTAGTGACTAGCATCTCAAGACACCGGCGAAAGTGTCTCCGTCACGTATGGTTCCGGCTATTTTGATGGTAAGTCGTCGAATTGTTTGCGAGGATAACACAGCTGATTTTATATAGGTGAGGAGTACCTTGATGCAGTGACCCTCGCGTCCGGATACGCTATTACTCAGCAATCTATTAGTGTTGCATCATATGCTGAGGGATTCTCTGGTGTTGTAGGTATCCTGAATTTCTAGTGGGCATGAAAGTTCATGTGTGCAATGTAGTCTTGGTCCTGAAGACCTCACCTACGGTATGCGTTTTTAAGACTGATAGTTTTTCTGCAGCTGATGTTGGATCTAGGTACCTTGAGCGATGAAAATGAATGCATTGCAACTGTCACTCAAAATGCGTACTCGCAGGATCTCATTGACGTCGAGGAGATCGGCGTCTCCTTTGAACCTACCACCTCCGACTCGGATACCAAGGGAGTCATTACCTTTGGTGGCGTTGACTCGAGTCTGTACACTGAAGAGTCGGAGACATTACATACATGTTCGTAGCTGAACGATGATAGGACCTGTTGAGCCTGAAGCGAACCGCATCCATTATAGAGACGTCACTTCAAGCTCTCCGGCCAGCAAGTACGTCGGCATTGAACAGTCGATCCAGTACGGAACCGAGTCAATCATGTCCTCCGTTGCTGGAATCGCTGACATTGGCACTACCCTGATCCATCTCCCGAGCTGTACGTATAGCATCTATACGTCCCAGCGGCATCATTTAAGGTCGGCTGATGCAATCGCTTTCCAGTTGCCTACAACAAGTATGTCGACTACAACGGCGCTACTTACGACGACAATATCGGTCTGTTGAAGATCAGCTCGTCTGACTATGAGAGCTTTGACAGTGTATACCTTGTTATGGCGAGGTATTTTTTTTGCTCTATGACCTCGATGAGAGCTGACGTGCGTCTCGTCCGCAGACGTCTTTTGAATTCACGGTGAACGCTCAGATCTGGCCTCGCTCTGTAAGCATGCACTCATTACTCTGCCTTGTATCGTCCTAACGATCATGTAGCTTAACACCTACATTGATGGCGATTCTGCCAGCTCAATCTATGTCGTCATCAACGACATGGGCGATGATGCCGAAAAAGCGGCTCGACCTCATCTATGGCATGGCCTTCCTTGAGCGGTTCTACTTCGTGTACAACTCGGGAAGCAGACAGTCAGTTTTGCGACAACCGACTATACAGATGCTACCACAAACTGAGATGAGAATAGGATGAGTGCTTGGACGCAATGGAGATCGGGTGGAGGGGGGTTGTGCGAAGCTTGCATCGTGAAATGGGAGAGGGAAATCAAAAGGGAAATGCAATTCACTTTGTATTGGCTGTCGCGCGCGTCTGATGGACATTTTATACATCACTTTCCTCATTTTATAGCATGGCGCACACTGTCCCGGGGACAGTCTTTAGATCTGTACGTACCTTTTGCATTTATCTGTCCAGTGTAAATCGGTTCATTGCGGGAACAAAAATTTATTCTTCAGGTTATCAGATGCATGACCATGTGCAGTAAGTGCAAGTTGTCATTACTCAGCTGTGCATGCATGTCTCGGGAGTGATATAAAAGGATTGCCATGCGTGGCTTCACAACCTCATTCAGGCCTCGCCTTGGCGGTGAGTGATCAACATCCCATAAATGTCTATCATCCCAATCCATGCATCGCGCATCTCTAATGCAGGCGTGTGATTGTTCTCTCTGGGAGTAGATTGATAGTTTTCATTTCAGAGCTGAGAGCGTTATGCTCCTTTACCGTCTCTTCTGCCTCTGCGCTGGTTAACGCAGCTTCAGAATTGTACATTGCACTTATTGGTTATGTTGTGGCAGCTACGCCCTCCAAAGCCTCGTACAGGAACGAATCGCAGTACACTCGAGCTCAAGTGCGATTTCGGGGTGATCTCGCCTGTGCTGAGAAGCAGGGTTTTGCACCGCACGAGGCTCGGACGCGAAAATCGAAAGCTATCAATCAGATCCCATCGTCTCTCACTCAATGAATCAGAAATCTCACTATTCCACAAGGATTTCACAAGACCAGACTTAACTTGCGTCGTCGAGTTTTTTTTTGTGGTGAGTGAGTCGTGATTCGAATCGACCTAAAATTGAAATCATATGCACTGTGCAATATTAGGAGGCCTGCTGATACTCTGGACGTGTTATGTTCATGGGGAAATGACGTGTGTCATCGCCCTCCGAGTCAGACCATGACGTCTGCTCCTTGCAACATCTTGCGTGGTTCATTTCCCCACCCCTTCTATCTGTTGAGACCTTATCTTTCTCAGGGCGACAATAGATAAGAACTGATTGAGCTGGATCAACTCCGCATATCTGCCACTGGTACTTGGCACGCTGCTTCCGAGCTGTTACAGCACTCGGCTTCTCTGCTATATCGTTTATTTCACCGAACACGAAGTCGTCGCACACACGACGGAGCTATATAACGCTTGGGTCTGCTCCATGGCTCTTACCACCCAAGTGTAATACCGGTGCCCGTCTATCATGCTCGCTCGCTTCTCTCTAATTCTACTCGGTGTCCTGGAGGTGGCGGCTAATCCTGCCCGCCGGGACAAGTCTCCCATCTCGATACCATTTACCAGGAAGTTTAACCTCACTGGCGGTGTTATGCTGAAGCAACTAGCTAAGGCGAGAACCGCTTATCTGAAATGCAGGTGCGGGATGTCCTGTCATGCAGTGATGACTGCGTCACAGACACTATTCGACGTCTCGGCCACGAATGGAGCAGTCGAATACACTGTGAGCGACGGTATGTCGTCTGCGCCATGTTACAATCTACGACTCACAGTGTTGTGCTCGTAGATCGGTGTCAACGACCCTGCCACGTATTGTGAACATTCTCGTACATAATATTGTCTAGCAACCAACATACGTTGCCAGACACCCTTATCGTTGATACCTGTAGTTCCAACACTTGGATTGGCGCTGACCAGGCTTATGTGGCCACCAGTTCATCTCAAGCCACTGGTGAGACTGTTTCGGTCACCTATGGTTTGGGAAGCTTCTCTGGTATGTGTATTTTTTCTAATCAATTTGTTGCTAGCTGATCTTGTCAATAAATAATGAGCACCTGGACACGGTCAGGCTTGCTTTTGGATATGCCGTCACGAATCAGTCCATTGGGTCCCAACTGTGAGTGAGGGCTTGTCTGGTGTCAATGGCATCTTGGGGTATGTAGACGTCAACTGATATGTGATATTCTGATGCTTATTTTACATAGTCTCGGTCCCGAGGATCTCACATGCGGTACGTGCCACGGTGCGGGTGTCAGTGCAGCCGTTCACCTCTGATTTAGGGATTCTGAGTAACGAGGACGAGTGCATTGCTACTGTCACACAGAATGCCTACAAACAAGGCCTCATCTGCGAGGAAGAAATCGGCATCTCCTTCGAGCCTACCACGTCAATGTAAGATGCTAACGGAGAGATTACGTTCCGGAGTGTCAATACGAGCAACTGCACAGGCGACATGACCTACACGTGCATCCTGTATATGAGAGAGCGCCTGAGGAGTGGCTGAAGGGCATTACTCTACATCAGGCCGATAACGTCGACGTATCCTGCTAGCTACTCTATTGGCATCAACCAAACCATCTCTTATGGCTCAGAGACTCTCATGTACTCTGAATTCGGCAATGCTGACACAGGAACTACTCTCATCTACATACCGAGCTGTTAGTCGTCTTTCATTGCTTTGTTCCGGATAGCCAGCTTACCTCGAGTGCTGAGCGGCTTATAAGAAATATGTCCGCTATACCGGAGCGACGTAAGATGATAACACTGGTCTCCTCAAGATCACCCCAGCGAGCTCGATAATGTCTACTTCACCATTGGTGGGGTATGTTTCGTCCCTTCCCAGAGTCTTGAGCAATTTATATTGACATCGTGTCGTCAGACATCATTCGAGCTCACAGCCAACGCCCAAACCTGGCCCCGTTCAGTGAGTGGTGATGACCAAGGTCTTTGATGGATTTCTTAATTCTTCACCGATTAGCTAAACACGTACATCGGCGGCGATGCCGACTCGATTTACCTTGTCATCAGCGACCTAGGCGACGATGCCGAGACGGGATTCGAGTTCATCGACGGCATGACTTCCTCGAGGGATTCCACTTCGTATACAATTCGGGCAGCAGCGAGGTCGGTTTCGCAACGACGGAGTCACGACTGCTACTACGAACTAGTTGGGAGACCGGATTGGATCTGGTTAAATGCTCGCGTGACAGGCGGTAGCCTGGCATGGAGGAGCGCTTTGATGGACATCGAGGGCGGGTTGAGTGACTCGTTTGTTTCTGACCTTGTTGGGACCCATGAATCGGAAATGACATTGTCATGATACCTGACTTTTGCACTCGTTTTTTGCATCAAGCATCAAAGCCCGCTATTGTGTTGAATATCACAGAGAGGGTCCTGAGGAGCACCGTCTCAGCTGCAAAAGGCTTCCTCACCCACGCTTCCTCGAGTCGCCGCAAGGACGTCAGCACTCCGTGCAGCATGAATTCAGAGCGAAAGCGAGAGATGGGCTGGACTCGCCCAAGGCAGCCGCACCCATGCTATACACATGCCATGCAACCTACATACCACAAATAGGCGCTTCGTTTTTGCGAAGACCCCACTATGAAGTCCGTTAACGTGCTTACGTATCGACAGTTCATGCGCTCACGACAGCACATCACAGCTTCCTCTCGCCATCAGCTTTTGCCTCCGTGTCCCTGTCAGCCTCGCTCTGGAACTCGTGTGCCAAGCTATCCGCCTCCTCGGGCCTTGTCTGTTCTTGCGTGTGCGAGGCCTCCTCCTGCTTCTCTTGATGGAGCCGCTCGTCGTAGTCCTCCGCGATCTTGTCAATTTCCTTGCGCAGCGCCTTGCCCTCGCTCACGAGCTCGAGCCAACGCTCGATGTCGAACCCGCGTGCCCCATACAACGTCTCGCGTCACGCGGACACGCTCCGCCGCAGCACCGATGAGTAGGACACCTCTCGTCCCTGGCAGAGGAACCTGTGCGGCGTCAGCGGGTGTGGAAGCCACGTAGCCAGATGCTCACGAGAGGTACCCAATGATCACCATTGAGAGTCCGAAAAGGTATGTGATGGGCTCCATAACGTCCCCAGCTAGAGATGTGAGCACACAAGAAATTCCGATGCCCACATGTCCCATACCGTCCGAGATCCCAGAACGTCAGCCGCGCGACGGTGCTCCAGTATACGACGAGCGCGCCAAGACCAACCATCGCCATTCTCCCGGTGCGCCTCAATATCGCATTGATGCTTAAGCGCCTCCATCTTGCTGAGCTCCTCCTGAACCACCACTGGCAGGCGGCACAGAAAGCGCGTCCGGCTTTCGAACGACGGTACCTCAACGCTGATTCTTGCCTGCACGTGCTGGCCGTCGGGCGCGGCACCCGTTGCGTCCTCGCCGATGCAGATCCTAAACTCGCTCGCTCGCGCAGCATCGCGGATGAAGTGGCCAACGTCGGTCGAGCCTGCCCACGAGAACGTGCTGCCGTTGGGCGTCCTGCTCCGGAACGACACCGAGGGCCTGGCTGGAGCGAGGGAGGCGAGTATGAGCCGCGCGACATGCGAGAGCGGCTGTGAGGGATATAGGAGGAATACGGTCGGTGGGAGTGGCTTTATAGGAACAGTACAATCTGGATTCTGGCTTGTTGAATTGATTTCTGCTCGTAAGTGGCCAAGAGGCAGAATGAGCTTGAACAGATGCGATGAGATTGGAGCTAATTTGCCTGTGAAATGATCAGCACCCCCTCATGTACACAGCTGATTAATGCGCATGATGATGCACTCAATCCAAGGATGGAACACCTAGGTGGAAGGACGTGTGCTGCAAATTCTGTCATCTATAGTGAGCGACTTTGATGGCATGCGTTATACAATACTGCATACAACCATAGAAAGCGACACCGGATGTGACACATATGTCGAGCAGTGGATTGAGTGTAGCGAGGACACTACTGGAAAGGTGTAAACTATCAGCTAGCATCCGAAAAGGTGCTGGATGCTGCGAAAACTGTGGCCCATAACGCGTTGCGCGACCGGAGAGAAGCTTTAGCTAGGATCTGAGGATAAGAACACACCTTTGCTCTCCGTTAAAGAGTCCAGGTCATTCCCATTGCCTGAGTTCCTCCCTTCTCAACGTCGTGCCCAGCATCGTGCCACTTAGCCTTGGTTGGTGCTTCCGCAATAGACCTGGCATGACTGATGTTCGTGCTCTCAACCTCATGAGCTGTTCCAATACATCGTTTTGGTGCGATCTGAGAAGGGATCAGATGGCGGAAGTGTGTCGAAGCAATAGGCTGAAAAAATAAAAGTGTCCGAGAGGTCATAAGAAGTATGAGGAAAGCGTGTGGCCATGACAATGCGTCTCCCGCTTCGTTTGACGAGAAATATATCTAATTCCAACTGAAGTCACGTCGAGTATCAAGTCTCTTGGACGCGGAAAAAAGATTCGAGAGGAATCATCATCATAGACGGGCTGACTCTGCTATTTTTGAGATAATTGTCCGCTGGAAGCCTGACGGTGCACGCGATGGAGGAGAGTAATATTACCCTGCCCCCGGATTACTGCCCAATATCGCAACTGCCACGTGCGGTGGCCGCAGCCACGTGCCTGCCTTGTTTGGAGTCTGGAGATAAGATTAGATTGTTCCTCGGTGATGAGCAGTGTGCTAGTACTTGCCGGAACTATCTTTCGTACCACCGTGACATCAATGCTTCTCAGAGGGTCCAATCATTGTCCTCGCATCAGCACCGTACTTCAAGAGCCTGAAGAACTGGATATATGGGCAGAGAGAGCAAGGTTGACTGGTATTCTCGAATACATGCCTCACTTTGAGGCATGGAATCCGAGAGTGCAGGAAAATTACTTGTGAGCAATATCAACCTGGTGTTGCTCCTTACATGTCTTGATTTAGATGCATAGATACATAGGTCTGTCATGATCACAGGGCTGGTCGGATCTTTATGTCTGGTCGGATGGTGATATAGCGTGATAACGATGAACGCTGTAGGGCGGCTATGCAGAGCTCAAGTCACCGTCTAGATGTACGGTGGAGACCAAGTCCGGAGACCAAGGCACTGCGGATCAAGCATGGTTTCTCGTCGGAGGCAGCGATGCGGGTGCATTGACCAGCTTTACAATGGTCAAGTACGTCCTGCCGCATTGCTGCTGTATCGTCACTCACGAATAAATCCGTATGGTGGCAAACCTGGAGTGTTTTATCGTGCGTGGTAATCGTCCGACGTCATCAAGAGCATTGTGTGAGTGGCTAAGACTTCTCTTTTCGAGTGCCTTGAACACCATCACTGTCTTTGCAGAAAGTATTGCGGATATCATGATGTAATTCGCCAGCACATGCCCCCCAACTGCTCCGCGGACATACAGAATGTGATCACTTATATCGGCGAAGTCTGGTTGTCTAATGACGCGATCACCATCGACTTTGCGAAGAACACATTTAACTTAACTTTGGCGCACCTCGACGACCTCGCAGCTGCTCGTGGGTGACTCTGTTTTCAACCATATAATCGGCTGTCATTGATGCTTCCGTTTAATACCCGGTAGCGGATTGGCAGGGACCTCAACAGATAATCCAAAGGCGACACAACATATTCACGTGTGTGTCCAGAGTTCCTAATTTATTTATTTGTATCTTCTGCTGTTCACCGGAATGTCGTAATAGATGGTGTCTATACCCTGCCCGGAATTCACGTCCCGTTTGCATGCACACGTAATTACTCTTAATCGCCCTCGCCCTCCATAGCGTACATGCTGATTGATCCTCACTCGCTCACCCCGAGCGAATCTTATTGTCGATCGTCGCAGGGGCACACATTCCGGGCAGCCACGGGCACGCATTCGGTGAGTAATGTATATTGTGTCGCTTGCAGTGGTCTTTTACTGAAATCCGGCTCTTGCACGTGTCTCATGATCACGGCAGCGCGCATCGCGTCACTGTACAGCTCTGACTGAGCGTAGCGGGTCGCTCCATTCCATAAATCTTATAATGACAGCCACTAGTTCATGACGATTCAATGTTCAGTATCACCCCTCCAGACCAGATGCAGAACGAAGGCCTGCTGGGCATGTCTCAGTGCTGTATGGCTTGCACACAAGTATACGGAACACTTGCGCTGCTCTGACCCGACGGAGGAGGCTCGGCAGCTCGTTCTCTCCTTCATATCCTCGCAGCATGTGCGAGATATACAAACTTGCGGTGCAGTACGAGTTGGCCGTGAAAGGCAAGGGTATGCAATTTGTTGCTGCTGATAAATGAAACTCCACGGTGCCGCCATATCAAACACATCGACTGTGCCTGAGGACGGGGCAGCGGCGGCGTCTATTCATCCGATCCGCTGGTCTATCATGGACACTGCATTGTCATTGTTCGACTCGTACGAGAGCAGGATTTCAACAGATTCTATCGAACATTCGGGATAAGATCGAGGGAGATGCGAGATGCGAGCAGCTGAATAAGTGTTGTAGGGCACGGTGTTGCTACGCCGCTGACTGTGACATGGCAATATGATGTAGAGGAGCGCAAGGCCGCTCTGCGGCGGATAAATATGGAGCTGGATGAGGCGGATGGGATGGTACTTTTTCTGTGCAAGTGTGCTGACTTGAGCTCAATCCATGGACGTCCTTAACCCAGGTCCCGCAAATGGAGATAGAGATCCAAGGCATCCCGCAGTCCATCAGGCCGTCCTATTAAGCACGCATCAAGGCCTCCACAGCGGAGCTACAACGGAACAAGAAGCTCGCGAAAGGCCTGCATGCGCAGACGTCGCGCGCGGACCTTCTCGGTGGCGGCCGAGGAGGGGGGGTGAGGGGGCGCGGCAAGATGGACATGGACGCGCCGCTTTCGGGCGACCCGTACGGCCCGAGGAGCGACCGAACGCGCTTGCTGGCGGGGACGACATTGTTAGAGGACAGCTCAAGGCGACTGCAGGAGAGCCGCAGCATTGTGTTGGAGACACAGGAGCAGGGGATGGATATTTCAAGCAGTTTGTGGGTGCAAAGGAAGCAGACACAGAATGCGAGGAATACGGTGAGCGCTTGTAGAATGCTTTGAGTGACAGTGCGTTCTGATGGTGTGTGGTGTGATGTAGCTGCAAGATGCTGATATGTCGAGTGACCGTGTGTGTGATTCGTTGGAGAAGAAGATCAGACGGTGCGCGGTTTTCATTTTTGGTTCATTGTTGTCTGATAGATGGATCGGAACGCAGGATATACCAGCAGCGTGTCGTCGTTGTGCTCGTCCGCCTGCGTGCTCGCCATTGTGCTCTACTGCAAGTATTCTCATTCTAATCCCCACAGATACATTTCAGACAAAGAGCTAGCTTCTTCAAGCAGAAAGGTTACATAGCCATGCCTTACTATTGTAGAGATCATTGAATTGTCATTACAGCAGAGACAGATGATAAACGGGATGCTCAAGCTATTGTATGTTACAGTCACTACAAAATTGGCTTAAGTCAGTCACAGCATATATTCCAATCTGACTTGTTCAGTACCTCTTGTCTTGCTGTTCTGGCTTCAGCATAAGCATTTCAAACATTGCTGCCTTCTTGTAGGCATATGCTTGCATACCACTATTATGCTGCCTTGCCAATTGCATCCAGGCATTTTGAAAGAACTTGTAGAACCGTTTACATCTCTCCAATTCAGCTTCTAATATCCCCACCTCTTCTGCATGCCTTTCTTTATTGGCCTTGGCCTCAAACCATTCTAGTTGATCAACTGTAAAATAGTTACTATCAGTTTGAGATATCTGAAATTCTTGTGTCCTTTATACCTTGATGATTCCAATGTTCAAGCTGAGTATCAGCCATGATAGAAATATGCTGCCCTTTGACTTTCCAGATCCAGCTCAGCTTTCGAGATCCTCTACCCAGACTTGCATAGTCCATGAGGCCAGATGGATTTAAGTCATTTGCAGTCATGACAGGATACTGTGCAAGAAATGTTTGCTGATTCAGCTGAAGAAGAGTTTCACGTGCTTGATTGTAGCCTTTCCATCCTATGGTAACAGCTGTCCTAAGACGCTGCAGTCTGCTCTTTGTACGAGTTATGACACCTTTGTTATTGCCATGATATTGCTTTGATTTTGAGATTGATAGTAATGATGCTCGTTGTCGAACAGCAAATTGAACCTCTTGCAAGCAGTCTTCAAGTTGACCTTTCCGTAACTCAACTTCTATGTGTGCCAACTGTTCAAGTCCATGAACTTGACGTTGAATTGCTGACAATGCAGAAGGCAGCAATGGAAGAGTAATTTGATGTCCTGCTGCCATGACAGTTTGATTCATGTCCTTAGTGGAGGGCATATACATCTCCTGTAGCTTGTTCCAGGCAGTTATTTTTTGTTCATATTCTTGCACTTGCTTGATATTTTTATCTGTTTGAGCTTGTATACTATGTTATGATACATAAGTTGTTAAATGAGCTAAGTTGAGCCAAACATGTAGAACATACCTGAGCTTCTCCAGATTCAATGCCTGATTAACAAATGTAGCCATTCCATAGATCAAGTCTTTCTGACTTTTATCTAAATTTGCCTCCACTTTAGAGATCTTCTCAAGCTGCTGTTTTTGAGAAGACACTATATTTAAATCTCAGTTTCAGTTAAACAATGATTAAAAATGTACTATACCAGTAACTTCTCCTAGCTTCCATAGATCTGTGTTAACCACTTGAGATGGACATGGTGGACTTTTCATTTGAAGCCAAATGCTTAAATAAGCTTCATGAACTTGAGAAAGTTGCTCAAACTCTGAGCATGCTTTTGTATACTGTTGTCGTTCATCTTGAAGATCTTTACGCAAAATTTGCACTGATTGGTAAAATTAAGCAATAAAGATCACCAGTACTTCTTTTAAGACCTACCAAGATTTATCATTTTTTCAAAGTTAAGAGATGAATGATGGTCATTCATCACATCATGTCTGTGTCCATATGTCATTTCACGTGTGCTTCGAATGAGCTCATTATATTGAGCCCATACACGCTCAATAACTTCTCCATCAGTTCGTCCTGCTCCTTCTGTCAGGTTGAAGGAAAACAGTTGTCTGCAAAGCTCTTGATGACCCAGCAGATGCATTTTAGGAATCAGAAAGGTAATTCGATCCAGAATATGGAGAAGATCAGGAAAATATTCTTCAAATCGTAAGCGAATCTTCTTGCAGAATCCGCATGCAATATCATATGATGCAAAGATACGCTTCACATCACAAGCAATCTGAAGCACTCCAGCAAGTGCATAGTCAGCATTGCAAAATCTTTGATATCACTATCAGTTGCTGTAAGATGTATAAGCTGATGCATATTATATTCACCTTTCACCTTTCTGAAGATCAACTGTTCCATGTGGCCAGAAGAAGCCATGTCTTGAGCAAACAATTGCAATAATACCTGTCACATCATAGTGAGGCTTGTTTTGAAACATGCTTTCAATGATTTTAGAGCAATTGCATGTGGACACCTTGATAAAAATTATTAGAAAATCTAATATACTAGCTACATTAACCTACCTCTTCATCATTCTTAACTGCCTTGAGATATTTAAGATATTCTGCATTGAATGGAAAATATGCAGTGCCATCGGATAATGCAGGATCATCAGAATTGCTTGCAGACTTCTTGTGCTTCAGTCCAAAGTTGCCATCAATTGATATGAATAGTGCACTTCTGTAGCTGTCAAGATATAAGATGTTTGATGATCAAAATCAAATGATGCACATACTCAGTTTGTTCATGAGCTGATATGTTGATTCCTGGATGTGGACATGCTGGACATAGAATACATACAAGGTCCTGATATGACTTAGGTAACAAGGTCCAAATGCCATGGGTGATGCCAAGTCTTTTCTTAGTCATCAGATGCCTCCATAGTCTTGCTGTCCTCAAAAACTCTCGGTACACATTCTGCAACACTTGTATGAGCTATTAGACTGTGAATTATAATTAATAAGACATACAGTTACATTTTGTGGAGCTATACCATCAGTTAGCTTTTGCAACTGTTTGATATAGTCATATGCAGTAGTTCGAGAGCATGTAGTCTCAGCATGAAAGTGTTTAAGCACTTGAAAAGTAAATGCTGTATGAGGCTGTTCAGCAGAAGCAGGAAATAGTTGATGTTCAAGCAGTTGCAAGCATTTAGGCTGATGACCAGGACAGCTGCAATAAAGAATAAAACCAGTTTGAATACCATTTCTGTCAACAATCTTGAGCTTTTGCTTGTCTTCAACACTAGCATTTGGACAAGGAGATCTTCCATGACCCAAGTGGATGACTAGACCCAAGTCACTGAGATTGACACGCTTGAAGTAAGATCCAGTCCATTTCTCTGCAAAGTGAAAAGGATTGGCCTTGTGCTCCTTTATAAGACATGTTTGACATAGAACATCAGAGTTCCAGCAATCTCTGCATCTGAAAAGTGCAGGATGTCCAGCAAGGCTGCAATGTTTACACACATAGCCTGTATCCTTGTTGATTTCATGCTCCAGCAGACACTGTAGTATCTTTTCCTCAATGTTGACCATATCATTGAAGGCCTTGTCTTTGTACTATAACATTTGTTAGTAGCTGAAGATCATAAGTTAAGGGAACTGACCTTTGGGGCTGAAGCCTTATCATTGTCATTGTCACTAAGTTCCAAATGCAATATTGCAGTTTCTAGGTCAGGATCATCAGGGTCAGGCTTTTTCCAGTCCAACAATGGATCTTCTGGAACAATGTCTTCAAAGCCTGTTGAACTGACAGTAGGATTTGGCTTCACAGTGTGGTGTTGAGAAACTGTGTATTGTCGTCGGTGAAGACGAGCACGCTTCCTCGGGCTGGAAGGCTCATCGTGTATTACTTCCAGCTGTGGCGCACTTTGCAGTGGATCCAATGACCGAGATGTACGTGATGAAGCGAAGGTCGATGATGCGGCAGAGGTAGTCTCCTGCACACGTCGCTTTGTCGGGCTAGTGGCTGACTCTTGCATGTCTCCGTCAGACACAACAGCCAATGGTACGAGACGTTCGAAAGAACACAGATGAACGCTAGCAATTGCGGAGGCCGAACGTATATTGAAATGCTCTAAGAGCAGTAATGTGCAGTATCGACTCGGATGAAGCAGACGACTTGTGACCCCGTCAATGAACAGGCTGTAATAGTGGACCGCGGAGAAGTCTGATGTCAACTGGCTACACTGTGTACGTGCAAAGCCTTTTGACCTCGTCGATTGAATAGACAGGGTGTGATCAAAATGACAAAGAGTTTGATGTAGAGAAACGCAGCAGTAGACTAGCAGCGGCCGCAGTGGCAACTCTACACCAGAGTAGAGTAATCGATTCCGATCAGACGGTCGACGACACCGTATATATGCTGAAAGTCGTGGCAGATTCAACCAAGCAGGCGGTTTGCAAGGAGGGCGTCGATGTGCGGATGTCGCAGAGGTCGTCGATGAGAGTTTGATGTATAGAAACGCAGCAGTAGACTAGCAGCGGCCGCAGTGGCAACTCTACACCAGAGTAGAGTAATCGATTCCGATCAGACGGTCGACGACACCGTATATATGCTGAAAGTCGTGGCAGATTCAACCAAGCAGGCGATTTGCAAGGAGGGCGTCGATGTGCGGAGGTCGCAGAGGTCGTCGATGTGAGCGGAGGTTGCAGAGGTCGCAGTCGGGCGACTCCGTGGAAGAGCAAGTAGAACGGTATCGATCGACAAGGCGACTGAACCGTACACGAGTTCAGAGCTGCGGTAGCTTCAACCGAGCAAGAAGGACGGCGTCAATGTATGCGGAGGTCGCAGAGCAAGCAGATCGGCACCAATCGACAGATCGACGACGTACTACTATGCCAATATTTAGCGACCAAATGATAAATGTTTGACGAGATAGCGATCGCGTTCAAGCAGCGAAGGCAAGCGGGGCGCAATGGTGGCCGTTGCACTACCGACGCTTTGCGGTCCCAGATGCTCCAAGCTAGGGTTTCTACCGGCGAAGACGCTGAGATTCGAAGAGCCACTCACTAGAGACAGACCTCCGGAACGACTTTTGTAGATGAAGACACCAGCGATAGGCGGTAACTGGATCCCTCAACGAAGGATGCGGACAAGGAGTAGATCCGGCGCCTACCGTGCGCACAGCAAGCAGGACGCGTACGCACCCCAGACTACGGTATATGCCGAACTCGAGGGGCGCGGGCGCTCGCCGGCAGCACTGGATTCCGATTAGAATTAGACACAGTTTTTGGACAGTTCAACGATTTTCGACGAACATACCGGAGCGTGACTCCCGCCGGGAGATATGTGAAGTCGCGCTTGGAGTACTATGGCTGGCCCCATTCTGAAAAACGTTTCGTAGATCACGAATAATAATTCGAGTTCCGGGCCAAATCACTTCCGATCTTGAGTATACAATGCACAAGCATCTCAGCTAACTATATTATCGAAAAGATTGCTAAAAGGTAAGGAGGACTGCCTGTCGGAGAACTTCCGAATGAGAGGGTGCCAAACGGAACAGTAATGCAAAATCTTGTCACCATCAGTCACATCTTGCCGTGGAACAGCTTGCGTCAGCACGCTCAGCAAACTGCTCTATTAGGCAGATGCCTGGTACAGGATGCGCAAGTTGGCTTTCAGCCACCACCACTGATGGGTGCGGACTTCGGATGTGTGATTGCCTTTCCGGGCAGCGGTGGCTGACATCTGTCACGCCCGGTCAATGTTTCCTCAATCAAAGGCATGCCGTCCCACAAACAAATTCGGACTTTTCGTAATGTAAATGGGCTCTATGTGAAGATTCGTTATTACAAAAACTGGGGGATACAGTGAATAGGATCGGCGTAGATCTGAGGATTTCGGCGGGAATTTAGCCACTATTGAGAATGTGACCACAGTGATTGTCCTTGCATAACGTGACCACTCATCCGATTAGCTATCAGAGTGATATCGAGGGTCTCTACCATGTAACAAACACTACGAGCATTTTTCTCATATTTAAACTGAACAGACCTGGGCTCTAGAGGTGATTTTTCAGATTAGGACCGTTTTCAGATTAAGGCAAACCATAGTCACGATGTTCAAGGCCGGGCTTTCAAGCCCGAGCTGGGCCAAGTCGAGCCCAGCTGAGCCACTGAAAGCTGAGCGAGACATGGTGCCATTTTCAAGCGTGTAATATGCTTAGCAAATGATAATTAGATAGTCAGATTCTATTTCATTATTTGCGCTGATCGCAATTTGTGTAGCAAAATTAACATCTGAGACGATACATGGGATCATGCAAAATCTTACAGGGCAAATTCAAACTTCGCAGAATGCGTGTAGTCACAAATATGAAAATATAATTGGCAACCTCCGCCAATCTGTTATGTTGAATTTTTTACGAGAAGTATGACACTCCCAAACTATGGTTTGTCATATACCACAGTTTCATTGTGGCTACCATATTCTAGATTTGTGGCGGCACACTTATTATGGTTGAAGGTTGACTATCTAACTAGCATTTGTCACAGCATATAGCGTGCTCAAAAACACCTCCATGTCTCCCATGTCTCTGACACCTGGACCTCACGCATGTCCGGCCTAGTAAGGTTGCTGTGCAAACTGGACTTGGCAGCCTAGCTAGGCCCAAATGCATGCTCCTCCCCCACTGCCAGTAGCACCATAGATACTGTTGCTTATTTCCTGTTAGAGTACGTGGAAATTCCCCTGCTGATGTAATGCGATGGCCACTGAGTGGCTGAATAATTGGGGATTGATAAGGCCATGCCCGTTTCTGATAAGGCATGTGGCCACACTCCCTGAGGTTTCCACTTCCGGGCTGCATCAGAATCCGATGCTCACTGTGTCGGCATGCGCACCTGCCATCGCCAATGATGGCAGCGCTCTTTCTTCTCTCTGTAGGACATTTCTTTATCATTTTTTCTTTTTTTTCTTCTATGCACTTCTATCACATACCGTAAGCTAAGCACACTGCAATTATGGGGCTTATATAAGCTTGTTATTGTAGAAACACTCAGATAAAGCCTCCATTAGGTTTCTACTACATTAATGCTCTATTACACTGATATATAAGCTGTCCAATGCTTCATACTTGCAAGTGAGAACCTGCATGGCCTGCTCATCACTGCTGCAGCTTATAGTGATGAGAGCCTGCCAAATGTGATCACGTGAGCGACATGCCTGATGCGTACGTGCCTCTACATGCACGCTAAGAGTGAAGACTCTGGCCTCATAGCTTTTACTCTACATGCTCTCTATGCGCTTCCTTACCCAATGACTGCCATCAAGCCCACTGTCATGGCTAAGCTTTGCCACACGTGACATGAAGTCCGTGGGTGCTTCACACATGATCTGCTCATGGGTGACCTTTATACTGAGTGCCTTGTAAGGCCTCAGGGTCGCACTTGGAGCAGTGACTCCAGATCCATCATAAAAGGGTGGCGAGCCCCCTATCAGCCAATGGTAGGCTAAGGACAAGTGAGTGGTGATAGGCCTCACTATCGAGCTGACTCAGGGATGAAGGCTTGTGGCAAGCCACGATGGATGAGAGAAATAGATGAATAAGACTGGAGAATAGCCCAGTCACATAGAGGCACATATATACATGTAGGGGTGAGGCCCTCTGGTACTCTAGTATCTATGGGGTCCTTGGTTATCTACTATATATGGACATAATACATAATGTGCTACAGCCAATGGCAATGTACCTACTAGTAAATACTATGTGGTCATTGGTGGGCCGTAAACTTATAGATAAGGTCATGGTCCGTGTGGCATTTCGTCGGGGTGCCGTCTCGGCCATGAGGTATAAGGTCGACCTCCTTACCAATCCAGACCTCGGTGTCCCGTGCCTATGCCCAAGCCTATTGAGCAGCTATCAGGATGTCATGTGCTTGGGCATCTCTTAAGGTCACATGCCAGGGGCGCTTGATAGGGCGCTACCTTGTGGGTCATGTGATGTGGCGATTGGCACCTACAATCGATAAGATCCTTGAGCGCTTAGCTGATTATCAATGATGTCGCGTGGCTTTTGTGGCTGGCTTTGGTGATGCTGCTTGAGTCCAGTTACAGTAGAGCCTTCCGAATAGGGAAGTGCTAATATACTGTGACATCACCCCCACTTCATGGTTCATCGCCCTCGATGAACAGATGCTGTGAAGGCTGACTGAGCAGATGGGTGGGAGGGCAGGGTTGATCGGCGTGCTTGCAGTTTAATGACTTGCGCATAGGTCTTTTGGTGCTTGTAGTTTATTCCTGTAGACTTGCGCATAGGTCTGTGAGATCACTATGGCTGGGAATTGACCATGCGGGTGCTGGTAGTTTGTTCTGACATACATCGCAGTCAGGCTGACAGTTTATACTCCTGAGCGTGGAGGTGCCTCTAATGTCTCCAAGACCAGTATCAATGCTGGTGGGAGGATCTGGCTTTTGATGTGTTTTTCATTCCTATAGGGCTGCACTCAAACCCTTTGAGATCCCTTCAAGTTGCTTGCTTGAGGTGGTGCTCGCAGTTTTTTCTCTGGTCTTGCGCATAGGACCTGGGATCTGC